TGGGTGAACACGAATTAACGCAAAGAAACCTCATGAAATTAATTTCCATCAGCGATTATCTACTGAATCGCAACAAAATTTTAAGCGAAAGGTTACTGGTGATGAAACGTGGGTCACCCGACAACGACAAGCTAAAGGTCGTGTCAAATCGAGGTGATGCCGGCGCAAGGGTGGCCAAGCTTGGATTGACGATTCGAAGTGTTTCCCTATGTATGTAGTGGATGGCAGGTAGTTATCTACTATTAGCTGCTCCCCGGCAAAAACTGTTAATTCAAACCATACTGTCTGTGGACTGTCTGAACAAAGCAGTTGTCCAGAAACGCGAGCTTCGTATGGTAACACTACCAGGCTACGCATCGGTAGTGACTCGCCAAGCTCCGGGTGCTTCGGGATTCTTATGGAACCAACAGATCTGACCTTTTTGAAAAATGGATTTCCTTTTAAGGACAGCGATAGTAAAACTTTAAGAAAATTAAGTATATACAGCATCAAAATAATTGAATAGAATTAAATTTGTCAATATTCTACAAGGACTCACTTTAGTGAATGGTTTTATATTCGGCATTAAAGTTGTAGCTCGAAAATATGTTCACGCATTTTATTTAATATACCCTCATAACGAAATTTTTATATTTAATAAAGAGTTGGGGTAAGGCTGGGGTATTGACGGATTGATACCAAACCGATGTGGTTGATATACCATATACGGTACGTATATATATGTTTATATAGCAAACATAATTAGTTTAATTTTATTATAGTATTTCACAAATTCGGTATTAAGTCAGCCATAAACAATTAGGTCTTCATATTCGGTATCGGAGGCTTGAAGATTTCATCCGATTACGAGCAGCTTTAGATGAACAGAGGTTATCCTATCTCTAATTACGGTGTACCGTTTTTGTTAATATTAATTTCTATCTAGCAAAAGTTCAATTAAAAATTTTTAAAGTATTGACCATTGCTTTTTACAATTTGATCACTTTCTGGCATTTGTGGATACCATGCCAATAGAATGTTCGCCTTTCAAAGCAAACAATCAGACGCAATTTTCGACTTCTGCTGTAAGTATCAATGCTGCTCAACCAATGTTCCATCGATGGAAACAAATGTAATAATGGCGTACTTTGATTGTATCCTGAACCGATTTTGCTTTGTGGACGGTGCATTGTCGTGTAACAAATTACACTTCTGGCAGATTCGGTCTTTTCGATCAATGCATGGTTCTTAACATTTGTTGTCTGCAGCGATTAGTATTAACAGTTTCACCGGGTTTAAGCTCATGATATACACTACCCCTGAACACCAAACACAGAGCATTGCCTTCTACCGAATCGATCTGTTTTGCAGTCGATGTTGATGTTGTCCCCGAATAGCCATGATTCGTCATTCAAATCGTACTTCTGTCCGTTAACTATCTTTACAAGCATTTGATGCGACTCTGCAGCATTTTCTTCAATAGAAAAGAAAAATTAATATTAAATATGTTTGACAGATGTCATGCCAACTAAACAGAAAAATTAAGGCTCTTACACAACAAATGTTTCCTACCAACACATTGTTCTTAACGCTCACTTTATACCGGTATACCTGGAGGTTGCTAAACAACTTTAAATAGGCTGGTTTCCTTTTGAATATCATATACTCGTAATCCTATAGCTATCATGTTTATTCAAAACAACTGAACTTGGCATGTTAAGAACTCAAATGAGTTTTAAAGTTAGGATTATGTGATATGACAAAACTCGTTTGAACAAGCTATCAGTGATAATATATAAAACAAAATAGTTGATTATCTTTAGACAAAATGACAGAAATAAAATTGGGCTAGTCATGGTTATAGAGCGCATTTTAACTAATTTTGTTTTAAGTCAAATTTTTCCCGAAAATAACAGAATAATCACAACTAAGATATTAGACTTGATGAAAATATGAAGAAAACAAAAAAAGTAGTTATCAAAACCTTATAAGCATTACTGAGAATGGTATGACAGATATGATCGGAAAATGAAAAATATTGAATCACAAGAACTACAAGTTGTGTTTTCGTAAATGGAAGTCAAATTGTTAAGTTATTGGCATTGTGCACTGCTATATTGGTGTAGGAGGATGATTCATGTACATTTCTTGGAGTTATATATATATATAAATTATAATGAAGTTGTTATTTACAAACTCATTTTAGCTCGATATATAAAAAGAAAAAAAAACGATAATATTATTTTATGCCGAATTTGAAATTTCAAATAATTTGCAATATTCCTATCAAACTGTGTTTAAGCTTCTTGTTGGTCTCTAATAGCTCAAACATAGCACACTCAAATAAATTATCTAACTCACATTATGCTTGTTATACCCTGAACAGGATATTTAAAGTTTTCCACGAAGTTTTCAACATCCAACTAAACGTCATAGATCCTTATTTGATTGCATTGACGTGCTGAGTCGATTTATCCAGAATCCCTGTATTTACGCGAACTATACCCTCAGTTTTGAGATATGATCTGAAATTTTCACACGAACCTCTCAAAGCTACTTATTGGAACCGCCATATAGCACCACAATAGCATATAGCAGTTATACAAATTGACCGATAGAAATCAAGTTTTTCTCATAATTTTATCTTTGTTTTTTTTGTTTTTGTTTTGCTCCGCTATTCTTCTCTAAGCTAATAGTCTCGTAAATGCTATTTAATGCTCTTTTGAGAATATTTTATTTGGAAAAATTTAAATTCAATCAGTTGAATTACTATATATTATTAACAGTATCTCGTGCACAAAAAAAATATAAATATTTTGTGTTGTTTCGTAGCACTGATGAACTCTCGAAAAATAATAGGTAGGATTTGGCCTGAGGACATCTGAAATGAAAAAAATATATTGTTTTGAAGCTTGTTATTCTCGTTAGATTATACAATTTCGTTGAAAAATAATAGCGTTTCGAAAAAGTGATATTTTTTAAAGTAAAATCGGACTGTATAATGGAAAGTTAGCGATAAAACAAGATTTAGTTCCTGGAGCAATTGATGAGTAGAATAACATATTCAATTTTCAGCCATCGTTTGGATAGAAAATTTTATTCTCGGCGGCCGTAAGGAACATTGTTTCGGGAAAAACCGTAATAGGTTTTAACAACAAAATAATTATGCTAATGATTAAATATATTAGCGCACACGTATAGATGCTATACTTCGTCATATTCGGTAATCTCTTCAGGTTCCTAACATTGTTATTAGCACTATCTAGATTGACTTAGTAAACTTAGCTTATCGCATCATAGCTTTGTGTTTAACTTCACATATGTATGTAGGTCGACGTCTTATCAGTTAGTTAAATTCTTTGAGTTACAGAATGTGAGAGTGTCTTCTCAATTGTATCACTTTTAATGACTCATGCCAGCGGTTGACTTTTTCTTTCATATTTATATATGTATCTATATTTCTCACTTTCACTACTATATTGCAGAAACGCATTATTACGTATACATTTATATGATATACTATAATAAAAAGCTTCAATATTTGTTATAATAGTTAATCGGGTTTAGTTAACTTTGAAGGTTACGAAAAACCCAGAAGCTAACAAGAGAAGTGTGGGATTAAAGTGAAAAAGTATTAGAGGTGCAATAATGTGCAATTGCTGTCTGTATGCTAATTAAACCTAAACTCAAGCGCAAATCATGTGCATTAAATGTTTTTCGAGATATTTAATACAAATAAGTAGATACGAGGGGCGTTGCCTAGTAGGAATATTTAGATACTCATCGTGTTGAATTTATAATCACTTGAAACTGTTATACTATTTTGCTATATCTTAAGAATAATGAGTAGTTAGGTTCCAATACCAGATAGAAGAATCCAGAAAATAATCGTGATGTTGCACTGAGGATGACGTAAAAGCTTTTAAAGCTTTAAACATTTTGTTGAGGCTGGGCGCCTTCATTTTTAATCATAGAGATGTGGTTTTCTGTGTTCTATTCCATTACATCTCTGAAAAATCGCCTCATATGCAAGCGTCGACAGAATTCATAGAAAATGTGGTCCATGGGATACTATCAGTTCCTGAAGCTAGAATATAACAAAAAGTTATATTCGTAATGATTTACTGCTTTAACTCTAAAAGAAACAGGTTATGTTTGGCTCTATAACTCAGAATATTTCTATACGTTTAAGTAGATTATTTCTAAAGCAAAAACTCAATTTAATTTTAATTTGATTTTCGAAAAATTTAATCTTCTTACAAAACTAAGTTCTTCTTCTTTAAAGTCGCTTTGCATTTACTTTGCACAGAGCTTTTACAGGCTTTCACAGGCTGACAGCAGGTCGATTTAGCCATTTCCGTTTGTCGGTATATTCTGAAATTTTGCACACGCCATTTTCTTTCTAAGACTGCTCATGTGTCGAAACCACCGATATTAAATTAATATAGCACATAGCTGTCATACAAACTGAATGATCGGTCAAATTTTGTGAGAACTTTTCATGTGACGAGATATCTTCAAGAAATTGGGCATGATTATTTTTAAAGCAATGGTACAATATCCGAAGAAATTGTTCAGATTGGATCACTATAGCATATGCTGCCATACAAGCTAACCGAGCGCTACCAAGTTTTTTAAGGAATCTTATGTATTTATGAAGGGTATTAAAGTTTAAAGTGTAACCGAAGTTAACTTTTGTCCAAAGTTTTCTATACACTATACTTCTCTTTTGAACGTTCGATCTACTACAATAATTATCGATTCAAATCTAGCCCTTCTATAGCGACCAAATCGATGATCGCGTAGAAGACGACTGTCCGTCCCTTCCATAAAGCCACAAAATTAGTCAGACTTATCAAACCACTCTCGTTAAAAATACAATTTCAACATTTATACAATTAAATATCGTCGCAATGAACTTTGCGAAATGACACAACAAAGCAGAATACGTCAGGAAGCGACTCACCACCGTCGGTTGCAACGCAAATAATGATTCATATACACACAGCAAATGTTTGTAAAATCTCAGCTAAAAGCTGCTTACTACAAGTCAGCTTTGCTCAGTTTACTTTCGTCAACGTTCGTGTAAAGATGCAGTCAATCTTGAAGCTCCGATATGCAGTCGCGCTGCTGCTCGCACTGAATTGCGTTCTACTTTGCGCAGGCATACAGTACATTTAAGTGATTAAACAAAATGCGCATGAGCGCTTGATTTTTTGTTTTGCATTGAGTTACTATGTGTTCGGAATTATAACGATAAATTAAAATTCACTTTATTTTTGAGCTCAAGGCAACGGCGGTTGGGGTGGCTCGGGTGCACCCGGTGCTCCCGGCGGTGGCAATGGTGGCGGCGCACCAGGTGCTCCTGGCGCACCCGGTGGCAAGGTGGCGGTTATGATGGCGGCGCGCCTGGTGCACCTGCTGACGGCTTATGGCCCAAAATCATATGACAGTTCGGCTGGATTTGCACACTCCAATGGCTGTTGGCTCTGATGCCATTCACGTTTCTGTTGAAATATGCCTAAAGTAATTTTAAATGTCTAATTATTAGTGATATCCTTAAATAACTATGTCGAATGCTTGATTTAAGCTTTATAAAAAGTATTTCAGTGAACTTTGCAGTCAATTTTATTTTGTAATACGTCTTTAAATAAAAGTTGAAATGTAAAAAATATTTCTTGATTTTCGGTTTTATAATTTGTTTTGCCTTCTTCGCATTCCATCGAATCAATCACATTGATTAGCGTCGCATTTATTGTATTACCGGTTGCTACCTACGACCGAAGTTGTGGAAAATGTACAGGGTGGCTCATATATTACTCTAGCTGAAAGATTCAAAACCAGAACAATAGTTAGCATCGACTGCCCTTACAGGTGCATCTTTTATAGCTAAAAACGTATAAAAAGTTCTTCATCTCGATTTTAATCGGTCAGTTTGTATGAGCTATATTCTATAGTTCTTCGATATGAGCAAATTGTTCGGGTGCAGCATTGAGCAATAAGCTAACCCAAATTTCATGAAGATTACCTTGTCAAATAAAAGTTTTCCATACAAAGACTTGACTTTGATCCATCAGTTTGTATTACAACCATATCCTATTGTAGACTGATATCTTTGTTCCGACAATAAGCAGCTTTTTTGGAAGAAAAAAATGTGGGCAATATTTCAGATCGATTATCAAAATGAGCGACTAGTTCGGGCATATAAAGACAGACGGACTGCACTCAACTCGTCACGTAGATCATATGTATCTACTTTATATTGTCTCCGACGTTTCGTTCTTCTTCAGGGTATAATTAGTTATGATTCTATTTTACAAATCCATCACTCGATATTCTTTTTAAAGGTTTGTACTCCATTAGCATGACATGTCCTAAAAAGAATTCAAAGCTCATCTGAGTCCATGTATTTCTTTTCTCACCAGAAAAAACAGTTTATAATGCCTCTATAGCCTTCACCGTGGACCAATCTGGCTATTTTTTGCCAACTGACCGACACTCGCTAAACATATATTGCTTTCTCGATGATATTGAGCAACCTGTTTAAATGAATATGCACTTTTTTAGAAAGCATATTCTTTGGAAATTTTGGTTAACACTAAGTTTGTAATGCTGTGGCACATTTTTCTGAAAATATACATATAAGAAAACAGTATAGGCAAAAACTTTTCCCTCTACTGAATATTTAGAAAATTGAGACGTAGATTGATGATATCCAAATATGTCTATATAGTCCCAATAAAGCTTCTCCAATATTTTTGCTATGTGTCATAGAACCAAAAATCATAAAAAGAAAGAGGAATGCCAATGAGAGAGTGAAGTTTGGTTTATTTATTTCGAGATAAGTGTCATTGGCCGAATATAATACGAGTTATGTAGCCTGTTATGTAGACTCTACTAACGTCTTCATCGTTAGAGTTTAAGTTTAGCGTTGGGATCTTAATGAGGTTTTGAAGCCTCTTTTTAAAGTTTACAGTCAAAACAATTACATTTTTGGTTTTCAAGAGACCGATTATTTTCAAGTTATTTCTCCGTATCAGGGTTACGATTTATTATTTACTTAACTTTGAGTATCGAAAATATATTTGCTGCCTTAGTTGGCGCCACTACTGTAGTATATACATAAACACTCCGCATATATACATTTGTTTTGACAATCATTTAAACTGGTTTTTAAATTAGCAGTTCCAAGTTATTGCATTTCTGTTTTGTCTTCCACAACGCCGTCGCTTGCGTTGAGTGGGATGTGTGAGACACACGTGCTTCGGACCAATATACTCATTCATTCAAAACCCGTTGTTTGAGTTCTGATTTACATATTAATATTAATTTTTATTGCATTTGCTTTGATTTCGTCTGCTGAACAACCGCAAGCGTTTTAATTTAATTTAATTGAATGAATGTAGCGGGTTACACTTTTAAGCTGTTAAATTAAAAAAAAAAGCAGTAGTGTTTCCTTTCTCAGTGTTTCCTTTGGTGTTTTTTAAGAACTTCGAATTTTAATTTCATTAAGGGATATCCACTTGTGAATTTCAAAAAATCGAAATTTTTTCGCTTATAAATCGAATGTTGATGTAGATTGGAAGAAAATTTCCGAAAATTTCAAAGTTGATGCGGTAAATAACTTTGAAAATATGAGCGTATTCGTAAGAATTTTTTAATTTAGTTTAATTAGCTCTAAAAATTTTTAACGCGTTTTTCTCGTAGCACTGTTATCAGCGTCGGTAAGAAAAATGTCTTTGAAACGGCTGGACTGATTGGCCTGAAATTTTTGCACTAGCTTTTGTGATATATTTGTCAGGTAATGATGGTGGTAATACGATTTTTGATAAAAATTTTGATTTTTTAAGCCACTCTCAAGAGTAAATCTTTGACAAAAAAAAGAACTTTTTTTCTGGGTAGCCGCCATTTTGTCAAAAATCAAAATTTGGATTAGTCCTTTGATCATTACAGGCATTCATCTATAGTAATAATAATTTTTATTTTGGTTTTTGGATTAGACATCATTTTAAACATAAAAATCATCCAAACAGGCTTACACCTTTTTCCAGAGGTCCGCCAGGAGATCGGCTACAGAATCATGAGAATCCATAATTTTATGAAATTAATCCAATTATTTAAGTACTTTAAATTATCTGAATAAACATTATTTTATTTATTAATTAAATAAAATGCTTTTTCAAAAAACATTTACAAAAAGAAAGAAAAAAAAATAACGCGTTTTCCAGACTTGCAAGTGGATATAACCATCTCTGAAGACGAGTTGAAACTCTTCTAGAACTATCTCAGTTCTACAGTTTTCCCTGCTAATTATATCCTATGTAAGTTCAATTGTAACTTTTCATTATGTTCCTCTAGATAGACATCACAAAACAGATTTCAAATTATGGTTTGTGATTAAATCATACTGCTTTAAATTGGTTTCATAGGTTTCTATGTCGAAAACTTTATATCAAATATGACTTATTCACTTTGTTAAGATGCCTATAGTCTGAGTCACTAAGAGTGGTTTGGTTCAGCGAGGGCGTAATAACCTTGTTTGGATTAGTGGAACAATCAGCATCAATTGTACCGCTACAATTACAATACAAACCAAAAATTACTTTATACTGGAATTCAGAAGCTTACTTAACGTAATAAAATATGTACATAGGTTGTAATTATATATGATATTTTGTTCTAGGGGAATTTTTTGTTATTAGTCATGCCGTCAAAAAGAGGTTTTATCGCTAAAAAACATCGAAGAGTTTATTGCTATAGGCCGCTTAAGTTAGGTGACCAATTGACGTTTTATTCCTTCACATAATTCGATCTGTAAGAATTTGTACTCATAATGTGAGTACCTGTCTTCGATTCGCCATTTCTCTGCTCATTTCTGCTCTCTTGTCAAAAAAATTTACAGAGAAAAGCGACGGCAAAATTATCGAGCTGAATTCTTACAAGAGAGTATACGGATACCTCATTAAAGTGGTATAACCGCTATGTTCAATGCGACCAAGTTTTGCCTTGCTTTACTATTGAGAATCGTTAAAACGACAAATGAAAATACAAATTTATTTTTTTTTCAAAATATAAGACTTAAAATCAGTTATAGTAACTTATAGAAAACCAAAATAAAAGATTACAGCAACTCTCTGCTGAGTTAATTTGATGGAAAGAATATGGTTGTAAGTTTTCCGGAGTAATCACAAGTTATTCAAAAATATAATTGATTGAAATTAAATGCTTCCCATATAATTAGTTTCGTGCTCATTTGTCAAAGTGTAGTGTACACAAATGTCAAACCCCTGATTACTTTGACAGCTGATATATGGTACTGATATACAAATAACTTTAAAGGCCAAGTGGAATCGATGAACCAAAAAGGGGGTTAAAATATTTTAATGTATTTACTGCCAGTTCAACGGTTTATCTATTTACCAAAGCGAAGGAAGGAAGGATTTTTCATAAATCGATAGGTTTAAGTTTGTTCGTAACACCTAGAAGGAAACGTCAGAGGCTCTACAAAGTATATACTTAGTCTTGCCATAAATTCTGTTACAAAGTTTACAATGCATACAACGAGAATAAATTCGCAGAAAAAACTGCCGTTAGTTATATTAGGCAGTGCAATTATATTGCCATTAGAAAACCGAAAGTTATGTCAAGGAGAGTGGATATGTCGACCAGCTTAATGTCTGGATTTATACGAGATGATCTCCACATGAAAGCTTGCCGTGATGAAGCAAATTGCGCTCTGCAGATGCTCGCAGTCAACGGCCATAAAAGTATTCTTTTTACATATGAAAATATTTTCACTAACAAAATCTAAAAAAATTAAAAACTTCTTTAAGAGGCAAAACATCCAAATGATTTGGTGTCGAGTCTCCTGTAAAGGTGTTACACCTCTTCATTTATGTGAAAAAAGTGTTACAACTGGAGCAAAAGTGTGCCAGCAGTGTGGTTTAGAAGGCGTAAAAGGTAAAAACCACCCAGCAGTGGCTTAAAAGCAATATTCCTGGTTGTTTCATAGTTGCTGATGATTGGCCGTCTGGAAGTACAGATTTGAATCCATTGGACTACCCTATTATACAAGTATTATTACTTATTACATTATACCAATCGAAATTGTGCATGCTACTATTGATCAATGGCCGAATCGTTTAAGTACTTGTGTACAAGCAAAAGGTGACCATTTCGAATAAAAATATGTAAATCGCTCTTTTAATGAAGGTATTATTAAATAAAATTAACATTCAGAAAAAATATTATAGTTTCATTTTTATGAAGGCCTGAATATGCAACAGAACTTATGTTAGTATATAAATAATCAGCATGATGAGCTGAGTTGATTTAGCCATGTCTGTCTGTATATATGCGAGCTAGTCCTCAGTTTTTGAGATATTGACTTGAAATCTTTCAAGCTGCTCATTAGCCGGAACTACCAATATCGGACCACGATAGGATATAG